AATTATTGGCTATGACCCATCTTCTTGCAAATAACGCAAGTTCGAGTCTCTCTCCTTGCTCCCTTATTTCCAAAATCTCTCCTTTGAAATCTTTTTTCTTTCCAAAATAATTTATTCCCTTTCATTTCTTAAATTTAAAAAAGGGTGAAGATTTTACCATATGTACAGCATCCCTTGGAGTTTGCCTTGAATTCCTCTTCTCCTCTTCTGATTTGATTGTCGTGATGAGCTCCTCTACTTTTGGTGCCTTTCTTCTAGCAGAGAGTGAAGATATAAAAGTCTCTCATGAATTAGGAAGTGAATTCATAAGATGAATCACTTGCATAGATTCATTGGGTTTCATGCATGTATCTTCTAGCTCTCTGACTAGTGCGCGAAAGACATACACATAATTTATAAACTTGGTACCTTCTATCATCTTTAACTCATTATACATCCTCATAGCCATGGTTTGCTTCATAAGAGAGGGTTTAGCATATTCTCTCTCAAGTTTATCATAAATCTCACTTGCAGTATAGATTGACTCATACTCAGAAGCATATGAGTCAGTCTTGGCAAACAAAAGAATGTGTTTACATCTCAAATTCCTCCTCTTCCAATTGCCATACTCATATTTGATTTCTTGATATGAGTCGTCAGTTGGACGACGAGGTCGGTTCTCAAAGAATACCTCATGCAAGGTTTCCTCATAGAGCACAAATTTGATTTTTCTTTTCCATGAAGCAAAGTTGGTCCCATCAAACTTTTCAGCTTTCAAAATCTCTGAGATGAAAGTAGGAGCAGTCATACCTTTCTATTCTCAAACAAAGAAAAATAAGAAAAGACTCCTAATGGCAAGCAAGTAAAACCAGCTCTGATACCAATAAAAAAAAGACCTATATGATATTTTGCTAGGGAATATAATTTTTTTTTTTTAATGATAATAATCACCCCTTTTTTAAAAATTTTGGCAAAAAGATTACTTACAAATGATCTTATTACAATCAATAAATATTTCAAAATAAAACAGCACAACAATAAAATAAAACTCAACCACTTGATGCCATTTATTCAACCTAATACTATGCTTGAGAATATAAAATAAAATAGCAATAAAGTAAAAGAGAAGATGTCAGAGATTACCTCAACCGGGCTTATTACACCCCACACCGAGTCACCGCATCCAATAGTGCAAGATCAGTGGTCTAGCTTCAATCTCGAATCAAGAAAGCTAATTTCGGCCAAACTAAGTAACCACCCTTAAATCTCTATAAAATCCTAATCCCAAAATTAACTAAAGCTTTAACTCTGATTTCCCAAACCCTTAGTATCGTTATGTCAAGAGAGAGAGAGTAGTAGACCTAGGGTTAGGGCGTGCCCCCTATGGAACTTAAGAGAGAGAGAAAAAGAGAGGGTTAGAGAGAGAAAGCCTAAGGAGAGAGAGGAGTGTGCCCCTAAGGAGGAGAGAGAGAGAGAGGTTAGTGGG